TTTTTTCGCCCACAACCATTTTCCCCGAATTCCAACTTCTCCGAAAGAATTTTTCGCTCATTTAATGACCCTGAACCACACCCACACCTACACACGCACTCACACGTATACCTACACCCACATGTGCACTCATTCCCATGTCTCCGTCAGCGAAAAATTCTTTCGGTGAAGTTGGAATTCGGCGAAAATCGTCGTCGGCGAAAAAAAAATTCGGCGAAAATGGAAATTACCATACTTAATTCCGTAATCACACGTGTAAAAACAAGTTCAAAATATTAAACAAAAAGGAAATAGTAAAAACCGTACATTCTAACCCGTTACGGATACGTAAAAGTTTTTGATGTCGTAAAAGTGGGTTAGAATTGTGAATCATAAAAAATGCGTTTTAAATTGATAATACGCCCGTAACACGTTAGAATGTGTGGCTTTTATGTTTTGGAACGCTTTCAGTTTTGAAAAATTTTTTTCGTTTTTTTTTATTGATTTTATTTGCCTTGGAAACTGATTATATGCTAAATAGTAAGTTTTTATTAATCGCTCATATGTACGTACAGAATGTAAGTCTCGTTTATTTATTTTCTTTTGTTAAGTAGTTTATATCACAGACTTTACTAATTGAACTCCTGATCTACGTCTTGAAGAGCAGTGAAGAGTAGTAGATATCTTTTGTTACACACAAGTATTTGTGAGTCGTATTGTCAAGAATTTTTCTTGGAGTCCTAATTTCTTGCTACATAAGTTAGAGATATTATGTCCTTTTCATTGATTTGCTTATATCATTTTACATAGCTTTTCTAAGTTGAGTTCTTCATAATATTTTGTTGACTTGGTGAAATTTTTTAATTATAAAGAATGATTGATATCATTTTTATCACTTTGAAAACATTCCGCTGTTAGTTAAAAGTATCACCAGTTATAAAAGAAACAAATAAAAAACAAACAGAAGAAAGTAAAAAGTGAACATTGCAAGAGAATAAGATTACTAGACAAATTATATTTAAATAATGCTTCCTGATAACTATTCATCCTAGTTTATTTTATTGATTTCGTTTTATAATTGATGATATTCTAAGTTAACAACGAAACGTCTCAATACAATTAATTGCAGCAGTGTCAATTATTTTCTTATTTTAATTAGTCTTTCTTTTTTTATTTGCGTCGACAGACTCTTCCGTTTACCTCTCTTTTAACAAAACATTTATTCTTTTTCCAAATAGCGACATTGAATGTTCAAGTACGCGGCGATATATTTATTATAGTCTTGATAAGACATAGCTGCGCAAATACGAGTACAACTTGTATTCACTCGTACCACTACAATCATAGACCTACCCCTGTATTATAAACAAAACCAGAACTCATGTACTCTACATGCTATGTACTCTACATACAACGTACTCTACATACTATATACTCTATATAGATTAGACCCCCCCCCCCTGTATTCTCAAAAACTCTAGAATTCTAGAATTCATGTACTCTACATGCTATGTATTCTACATACTACGTACTCTACATAGACCCCCCCCCCCATGTACTCAGAAAAAACCTAGAATTCATCCACTCTACATGAGTATATAGTATGTAAACTACATAGTATGTAGAGTACATGAATTCTAGAATTCTAGGTTTCTTCAGAGTACATGGGAGGCCTATGTAGAGTACATAGTATGCAGAGTATATCAATTCTAGAACTCTGGAATTCATATGCTCTACATGACCCCCCCCCCCATGTACTCTGCAAAAATTTAGAATTCTAGAATTCATGTACTCTACATAGACCCCCCATGTACTCTGAAAAAATTTAGAATTCTAGAATTCATGTACTCTACATGCTATGTATTCTACATACTATGTACTCTACATAGATCGGCTCATGTACTCTGAAAAAATCTAGAGTTCTAGAATTCATGTACTCTACATACTATGTACTCTACATAGACCCCCCCCCCCCCCCCATGTACTCTGGAAAAACCTAGAATTCATCTACTCTACATGAGTACATAGTATGTAGAGTACATCAATTCTAGAACTGTAGATTTTTTCAGGGTACATGGGGCGGGGTCTATGTAGAGTACATAGCATGTAGAGTACATGAATTCTAGAATTCTAGGTTTTTTCAGAGTACATGGGGGAGTCTATGTGGAGCACGTAGTACATAAAGTACATGAATGGTAGTCTTATGGTAGAGAAAAGTGAGCACAAGTTGTACCCGTATTTGCGCAGCCCTCTGATAAGAGTTTTGTTCGTCCTAAGCTGCCGTTTTTCTAAATATTAAACAGGTGTTGCGAGTGCCTTGCATTTCATTTTAAATCCTAGTATAGCGTCAGGTTAGATTAATTTCTACAGAAAGTGTTGAGAATGAATTTTACTAGTCAAGAATATTATTACAGTAGAGTGAAATATTTTCAGTGAATGAGTTATGTTCAAACACGAGGACAGACGTATAAGGGTTAGGCACTACTTTCGTGTAGATATTGAGTCGTAAATAGATCCTGTACTACTGACGAACTAATGCTCATTGTTGACCGATTATATTACCATAATTTAGTGTCCACATATAGAGGACTTCTAAATTAATGTGATGTTCAAAAGATTTCGATTAGTTTCAAATAATTATTCTAGATTACAGTTTTATACCTATATCCCTCTGGATAGACAATTTTCGAAGAAAATTCTTTGAATTTCAAACAATAACTCTGTAGTTACGGTTCGAAATTCAAAAATGTCTTTTTTTAAAATTACTTGTGCAGAAGGATATGGATGTAAAGCTAGTATCTAGACTAGTTATTCGGAACTAATCGAAATCTTTTGAATATCATATTATTTTAGAAGTTCTCTATATATAGACACTAAATTATGGTAATAGATTCGGTCAACAATGAATATCAGTTCGTTGAAAGTCGGTGCTTATAAGCGCTTAAATATGTAATTATAAGCGCTTTTCAGTCGCTTAAAATGTGCGCTTTTCAGCGCTTATGCTGCTTAGAATTTCAGTGCTTGAAAGTGCTTAAACTTCCAAGGGTAAGCGCTTGAAAGCGCTGAACTATATATATTTAAGCACTTTCCAGCCGCTTAAAATGTGCGCTTTCCAGCACTTTTCAGCCAAAAATTTAAGCTAATTTAAGCGCGCTTTTTGGCTTAAATTTTCACATGGGTATATTATAATGATCTTGAGCTAATTTCTCTCTAGTAAATGGGTGGGTGTGGATATGAGACTGGGAGAATAATCACACCCACACCCACACTTTTCACAGACGATTTAATCTCATAAGATAATTATGATAGATTCTTCACGATGGCATATAATAAGAATTAGTCTATTTAAATAACTAATTGCTCATTGCTGAATTTTGACTCTGTGCAAGCATACATTCAATAGTGTTATTGAATGAGAATTTTATACATGTCAAAATGAAAGACCGGTATAGAGCTTCAGAAATTTTCTTATGTAAAAAACAAAAACATTTGCCTTCTTATGTCTCACACAGCAGCCATAGTAGTGAAGCATATTGTAAAATTATTCATTATGTAGAGAAATCATTGATATCATTAATACTATTAGTTTAAATATGTTTTTTAAACAACTCGTAAGAGAAATGCATACAATCAAATGCGCTATTACGAATACCTTCCTACTTCAGTCGAACAATCTTTACCTGGAAGTAGCTTGATGCATTAAAAGTAAGAAAACGCATTCCAATGCATCTTACTGATATGATGAAAAAAATATCAAATGGCAGTTTAATGCGTAACTAAAAGTCAAGAAGATTAAAGAGTATACTCGGCTAGTATACACAGTTGAAAGTTTGATGTCTAAATATCGAAAGAAGAATCCAGAAAATCCAAAACTTTTCAGTCTTAGATTTGACTTTCATTCTCATTGTTGTGCTGCATGCATGCGTACCATATTATATTCTATCGTGAACAACTTTTTCTAAGTTTTTCACTAAGGATTTATAATTTTAGACATTTACCTACTTCTTCTACCTGCGTATCTTCAATAGAGATCCAATATATATAAACGACGCAAAATATCTTTTGAAAAGTTCAAAATAAACGTGTTTCAGTGCATTTCACGCATATTTTAATAAAAATTCCGTTTAAACGACATCAATTGCAACACTATTTTATTTTGACGCGTCTCAAATACTTTTTAGGTTACATGGATTATTTATTGAAAATAGAAAGAAATATTGTTACAGTCTTGTTCACCTGTCTATCATTATAATCTCTTTTTTATGCCTCTTTAATACAATGATGATTCTTTTTTTTAATGCTTTATTTTATCAACTATGCGAATAAATGCTGTTAACGTGTCTAACCTACAAATAGAATGTCAGTTACTTAAAATCGATGTTCTTTTCATTAAATTATCAAGAGTTGATGGACCTCAAATGGATAAATTTAATAAAATTTTTCATATATTATTACAAGAAAAATGTTTTAAACTGTCAACTAAAAAAATAATGATAAAAAGAGAAAACAAAGCAAAAAAGAAAAGAAAATATCAATTGTACTTACATATTGATGCAAATAAGATAGATTGAATATTTAAAAGGAAACAATGACTACGAGAGATTAAAACAAATAAAAGCTTTTTATGCTTCAATAGATAAACTGTACGACATCGAAATTTGACGAATCTTTGGTTCTATCAGCTTACATTATGCTTTGTATGTCATAATCATATTATGCAATATTCAAATACGTACTTTTTAACTCTTTCTTCTCGACGACCAATAATAGTTATCAAGTATTGGAGTGGATGGTTTGTATAATCATACGGATATAAAGTAAAGAAACAATCGTTTAATGTGCAAACACAATGAACCATTCATATTAAACTAATAACAACTCTTTCATTGTTTTGTACATAAATAAATATTGGAAAAAAGATTTCATAAAGCTTTATGAAATAATCATAGCATTAAATTATTATTTAGTTGTTTTTTTAAGCATAGTAGGCAATATAAAGCTCTCAAAGGTATTAATAAGTTTTATTATTCGGGAAAGGGAAGATTTTTTGTTTTAGTCAACACCTTGCTATATACGTAGTACTTTATTCTGGCTATCTAATGTATCAATTTTATTGAATTATTGAAGAATTATGGTCATTTTTTACTATAATTATCGACGTAGATGAAAAACATGTGAAATCATTGTTAGACTCATAACTGAGTGAAAATTTAACCGACCGATCTATCTGAAACCTCTATGAAATATTCCCTTATAGTTGACTACTATTTTCTTAAAGTTTCAGAGACAAGCAGTGTGCTCGCAAGAAGGATGTGGTATAGGTAGGTGTTCGCCTTATCGTTTTTCGCCATGAGAACAACACATATTGTGAACAAATAAAGTCAGTAATGAGCGACTTTGTAATTAAAAAGCACATTTTTGAAGTATATGCATGTTAAATTCGATCAATCAGCAAGTTATATATGATTATTGACGATGAGGTTTCTTTGGATGTCTGACTTGTTGCTGGAAATGATTATATCAACTCAAGAAAAGGATAAGTAAGTCTTTCGATCTAATAAGGTGTGGGGTGAGGGTGGGTCTTCTCTTCCTTCATACACTCATCCACACCCACACCATATTCTCCCCCCTCCCCCGCCACATTCACCCCTCCACTCCCCCATCCCACCCCCATATTCACACTCACTCCACACCTCCACCCCGACAACGATAGATAACGAGCATTAAACTTGAATCGAATTTTGTACGATACGACCATTATTTATTTGAACAAAATAAATTCTTTACGATCAATGCCTTTCAGTTCAAATGGATTTGAGCCCGATGTTGATTGAGATGATCAAGTAATGGAGCAACTCGTCATCGATGAAGCTCATGTCATCACTAAATGAATCGTGTTAAAAATGGACTGATAAACTATTCTGATTTTCGATCGACTTACTGTGATCAAAGTTGGAGAAATGATCGGGTCATTGTTCAAGACAGAATTTAAGCGGCAACGAAAATTGAGACACATAAATACGAAGATTGGAAAAGAATTTGATTTGATTTGATCCAGTTGGGATCGAAAATTCGATCGCCAGATAAATACTTGTTTCGTCTCTGCAAAATCAGTTGCCCGAGCAGCTCGTAACTCATCTGTGAACAAACGCACCAAACTAGACCAAAAAATGACGCCCGATCGATTGTTACGATAATGGGTAACGACCAACTTAGATAGAATCATCGAAGAACGCCAACCTGACATTATCTATCGTGTGGGTGTGTGTGAGAAGGATGGTAGGTTTCCTGTGTCACTATTTGTGAAGACGCGTGGGAACCGTTCTTACCTTCACTGATATCCACATTCACACTTAAGAATACATCAATCCCAAAAATATAATATCAAAGATGATCATTTTTCCGTATCGAATGTGTAGCCACAGCCAATTGTTTATGTCAACTGTGGCCAATTCTTTTTGGTCCATCTGAAGTTCTGGTTACAATCTATGAAATGTCAGATAAAGGTAATTGTATTAGTCCAGAACCAGTCAAAGATTAGCAATATTTTATTTTTCACAAGCAAATTAGACTGATTTTGAGACTCATGCTTTTCCTTGAATGAAATCTAAAAACAGATTCGGAAAGAGTATTCTAAATTGACTACATCTGGCATCAATACTTCTCAGGAATTCGTTAGCTCTTTAAAACTGTAAATATGTTATGTTTTGTACGAATAAAGCAATTCTTATCAATGTCTAGAATTTCTGATAGAACGATAGGGTATTTTCAGCCTTGAGAATTACCAGACTCTCGATAATTCTTCATGTTGAATCTGATTAATTTGGAATGCTCTTTTTTAAATCTATTGTTAAATTTCATCCAAAGCAAAGCATGACTCTGAAACGTAGTTGGAGTTGATCGGAGAAAAATTCAAAAAATGTGGATTTTTGACTGATTTCGAGCCAATTTTATTATCATTGTTTTGCAATCTGTCAGCTCTGACCACACCCTTAGATAGAGTAGAAGTAGCTGGTCATGACTGATACAAATAATGGCTTGGGAGCTAGAATCCCAATACGAAAATATTATAATCGGTGACATCATAGTTCAGGATTTAGTGCTTCTCCATCCACAACCACAAAATAGAATATAATTCCACTAATATGTCACTCAAAGAGCTCATATTCTTCCTGGAGATAGGCAATGATGTACCCTTCAGATTGGAATGCAAAAGAACTTGAGTTTTTGTTATATTCTATATACGAAAAAAATATTGACCAAATCCTATTGTGAATAGATGGTTCATATGAAAAACAAAAAACTGAAGGCTCATCAAGTAGTTGAGGCAATTAAACGTTAATTTTATCTATTGTTTCGGTCGAAGACCGCATGTTAGTTTCCAGATATATCTTTTATCTGGTACTAGCGTTGTAACTGCACTGTAACCATCACCGATACCCTGATAAGATGTATGCTCTCGTAAAAGTGTCCTTTCAATGAACATTTCACAGGGATGTTCGTAATCTTGAACAATCGATTTCAAATAATCAATAATTTCTTTCTGTTCAACTGTCTTGTCATCAGATCGATATAATTTCATTTTAATAAAATTGAATGATTCATCATGTGCGCAATTAATTTGAATTTCTTCAAAGTTTCCTGAACATTTATCATTTACTGTGTAATATGGTGGTAAAGAAGCACGTAGACGCTGAAAAAATGTTGGTTGCTCGGCTATAAACGTAACACTCGCTTTCGACCATGTTGCTTTCATCTTGATAGTAGTTGTATTCTTGCTGAAAAATCCTAACATTTGACTTATCGCTGCACGTTCATATTGTACACTAAAATTGAGGTAGTCTTATCAGCAATAAAAATTGAGGAATCCATCATTACGCAGTCAAATACTAGAACTCCATAGATTGAGAGACCTGTTTCTTCGATCCTCACGTACAGAAGACGTTTTATACACAGAGTATATCATAAATACCATTATAATACAAAGAATTTTAATATCGCCACTGCTTGAATCAATTGAGCCGATTTTTTTCTGAGCGATAGAAGACTTATCAGTTTTTATTCATAAAAAACTGTTAACAGATATTACTTTTGCATAGCACTCTTGTTCTCAATAAAGAAGTATACTACTTCTCAAATTATCCACCATGAAATATCAGTCATTCTTGGAACAAGAGTATGCAAAGTTGAAGAGTCTATAGTATGGGCCAAAAATAGGTCAGTGACACTAACCCGTGTGTATGTGTGTGTGTCCAGTGAAGAGAAACTCACACCCACACCCTTAATTTGAAGGAGACTTAAGGTGTATGACAGCTCTTCTCACTATGAGCGTTGTAGCTCTAGAAGAGAAAGAATTTCTGACTCATCCAACTATCATTAGGCGAAATAAAGTCAGTTCCGAAATCCTTTGATTGAATCTGACGAAATTTAAAATGCAGATAATCACATTGAAGAACTACATAGTGCAAGGATGACCAAGTTATAATGTCCTTCCCTCATTGAGTTCTATGACTAACATTGACATGAGTTGTCATATATCATTGTTCCTCTTCAATTCAAGCGATCAGGACTGGATTGATCTCACTGATCTACATTTCTAAGGCGATATATGTGCCAAAAAACTTGGACTTCTTGTCATAGGAGTGACATAGATTCCAAGGTGAATACTTTTAGCCAGTAATGTACTCATGTATTGAATCAAAGTTTATAGTGTTAGATCATACAGCAGTATTTGTCAACGGTTTCCATATGCACACAAATTTGGAAAAGTCCTCCGTTTCTGAAAAAAAAGTCAGCCCGATTGAGTACAGCAGAGTGAATCTATTTATAATTTTCATCATAAAGTTATTCATGGGACATCCTGTATAAGACATGACGAAGATAGTTTAACCTTACACCCCGATGTTTCTATGTCAAATTATAGACATCATCGAGATCAAATCCAATCTATTTCACAAACACTCAAAAGTGGATCACTAGTATCATAGATGAAAAAGTTCTGAAATACTGGCATAAATCATGGAAAAGTACTGCCTAATAACAACGAGCGCCATACAATCTGAAGAAAGTCTATAGACCTGATTCGAGCTGAGTCAGATTTCAGACATAAGACATATTAATTAGGTAAAGGAAGATATAGATTTAAGGAGGAGTCTAGTTGTTCGTATTACAACCTCCTCCTCTCTGACACAACTGACTATTTAGTAATCACTTATCGTAGTTCGATCACGATCTATTGCTATATCTATCCATGGGAAAAAATATCTCGTGTCCTAACTGTTCAATGACAGAGATTATGTATGTGTTCTGCAAAAGAAAGATCATCTGGAATGGTAAGATGGTGAAATACTGAAGCATCATGATAGAAGAAGAGGTCGAGACCAATATTGCTCATCTATGGAAGAGAAACACCTAATTATCTTACTGAGTTTGAGTAAGAGCTTCTTTACCCACAGCCTTCTGCGAGCTTTTAGCGAATGGAGATGCGAAATATTTATGTATTCAAATAGGTTTATATAGGTCTGTACGGACTACCTGCGCTAAGAACATTTTCAGGGCGATCTATTGGGAAAACAAACTTGCATGAAAAATTTTCCGCGATTTATCTGTCATTTTGATATCAAACTGTGAGATACGGTCGATTTTCACCTTTAATCACCAATGTCGTTATAAACATTGCTGTGAAATCTGTCAGTTTTAAGGAAAATATAGTTATTGAGCAAAAACTAGCAAGGAATGAAAAATCACCATGTTCAAGAAATTAGCCCCCGTATCGATCAGGCTCCGCTACTATACTTCTGTTTACTCAGCATCCAAAATAACTCCATCAAGTCAAATGATTTTTATCGCATTGATCTTGCCATATTTCCCCGCCGGCTTTTGTCCAAATGCCTCCGTGTGAGCGCTTATCACGAATCTATCTGATACTGTACTTCTTGAAATCACCATCAAGACAAAGGTATTCGGCTTACCCATGAGACGGCATCAGTCGATCTACTTGATCATTGTACCGAATGTGTTCATCATTCGGTAGTGGGAGCTGCAGAGTCGATTCGATTAAAGCATGTTCTTTCAAATGCACTAAGAAATGCTGATTATTTGTGCCAAAAGCCCTACTTTTCACTAGCAGTGTAGTGCCGGGTAGGAGGATGACTTCGTTCTCTCCTTGTTTGTAAACTGAATACGGCGTAATATCTATTCCTTTTTCACATTCAATGAGAAAGATCGCCCCATTGGCGCCGGTGAAAGCTTCGATTACGGCTAGATTACATGAACATGAATTGACGCTCCACCATGTAACAATTTGATCGCTTGCATACTTGGCATTTTCGCAAGTATTCATATTGATGTTCTCTTTAATGCCTCGCCAAATAGTACAGCGGCGAGAAGGAAGCTTTTCCAGGCCACCTATGAGCAGCTTCAAGTATGGAAACCATGGCTTCAGAGAATTTCAGTCAGAATTACGCAGAGCAGTGTTAAGTAGCTCGAAGAAAGGTGTTCCCATGGTGTATAGATAAATAGCGGCGGATTCATCGTTGCTTATAATGTTGGATTTGGTGAATTCCCTTCTGGCCGCTTTTAGACTATCGGATAGACTTAAAACACTACTGAGAAATGCTTCAACAGATTTCTCCAAACTGACCAGCGGTGAGTCTTTGTACCCGGAAATGGATGCGTTCAATAATTATGCTGATGATCACAATTAGTATCTTTTTGCGATGAAAATCAATGATCGATATTGTGAATATTCTCCTAGGAATGCTATTCGCACATTGAAAGTCAGAAAGTATTAAATCAGTAAATCGATCTCCCATACCTTTGCTCGGCGTTATTAAAGCTTGCGTACTGATAATATGCATCGCTTTCATTCCGTGAATATATACGGCTTATTTTTATCTATCCACTTGTGTGCCAACGTTGCTGACAAACATTCATTTTATTGGAGCTCATTTGCATAAGTAAAAGAAAAAAGAACCATCTTGGAGATGAGGGTGTGTGTATGTGAGTTTGATGATGACGATATTGAAGAGAAATTCATGTCAGCCGTCATAAGAAAGAGTATATCATCATCCATTTATCGTTCTTCAGGTGACTCCTTATTTGTCGAAGGAAATATAACGTACAGTACGAACATTGTTTGCAGTATCGATAGACATCGTATGAGTTTGCTTGAAAGATCAGTTATTCATTAATAAAGAAAATCATCTATGCTAAAAATAAAGAAGTAGGTGAAAATGATCATGACACAAAAAACCTATTGATACGATATTATCTAAGAAAAAAAATGGAAACTCCTGCCGCAACTAGTTATACGACTTGTAACTGTGATCCACTCATTGATTTCAAGATAGCTACAAATTCTCTACAAGAAAACTACGATTTTGTAAAAGAACTTGAGAAAATTAATTTAGTTCCGAAAAAAAAACAATATTTACTATGAATATAGAAAAAGAGAGGAAAGAAAAGATGAAACTACTGATATGGCGAATTACCTACAGAATGACATTTTTACTATCTAAATTACAACTATAGTCAAAAACGAAATTGATTTTATGTCGTTTGACTGAACTATTCTAGAAGTAAGTTCTTTGTCATCAACTTTTGAATAGTGATGATGACAGTGAATTGGGTAGTGGTTTCCTAAAGTGACATTAGAATTGAAAAGAAAAAGCTACTCTAAACAAGAAAATCAATGTTTTCAACCAGATGCGGTAACTACATGACGAAAGTATGTTGAGATGTTCAATAGATAGGATAAACAGTTAAAACAGGTTGATGACGTTATACGTATAATAACACTGATCGAATACTTTTTGAACAGACTTTGTTCTATGTCTTGTCTATGTAAGATACAGAGTTTATTTTGTCTTAATTTCTTGCATCTTTGTTTATTTTCGATTTATCTCTCGCCATTTCTCGAAAGTGGGCGAAGGTCTACTCTTCATACCCCATACTCATATCACTATTCATTTATCTATTAGTTGCTCTCAATTCCAAGTACAGCGCACAAGAGAGTTTCGTTTACTACCAAATAAACGTCCAAGAAAATTTTTCATTGATCAGCCAAATTCTTACTTATTGCCATTGTAAAGAAATTAGTAAATTTTACACTAATATACGCTAGAAAATGAACTCATCAAACAACAACTTCGATACAAGATTCGTTATGATTGGCGATGCCCAAATCCTCACTACTCAGTCAAGAATGTTCTATTGACAAAATTTCATGGCAAACGATTCGAGTTAGAAGCTCAATACTCTGTCACAGAATGTTGACTAATTTGCATTCGAAATTTGAACTATTAAGTTTCGATGAAGAAAGTAAGATGAAGTAAGTATGAGTGTACATCAAAATGTGAAAAAGGCGTGGGGATGAGTGGTTTTAGATCTTTTCGCTTTTAACTATACTGCCACCCTAGTTATTCACATAATCTTTTCATCGTATTGCCCTATGATGAAAAGAAAACCTGATTTAGTTGGATATTTGTTTTACATGGGCATATAGTGAGCTTCATTTATTTCATTTGACCAAATAACTATACATTTTGGCAAATAATTTTTCGTTTGTGATTCTATCTCAGGTAACGAGAAAAAATAAATAAAATAACAGCAAATGTAAGAGCTTTTCAATGTATATATTGACATTCATTTTGCGTGTATCGAGGCGCGTTGAATGTGGACATTCTCTTTAATTTTTCTTTTTAGCTGCTTGTTTTTCTTGGTGTTCTGCGCCTTGTATAACAAGTTCTAAATATTTTTACTTTTTTGTATGACATTGCATTTCTCATATTCGATCGTTTACGTTTAAGATCGATTCGACTGATTTTTATCATGAAAACCGTATTTCTAATTATTTTTTTCACAAGTACTTATCATTATTCAAAATGTACTAGTATCGTTCCATTGACAAGTCTTGATTCGAAATTAGACTTGGGTAAGTTTCTACTTTGACGAATTTCATATGCTTTTCTCCATTTATGCACTAAGAATATATAAGAGATGTAACAAATTGTAATAGTACTGCATTGAATAGTCAATTATTATGAAACAGTTTTCACATGTAAATAAGACTTGATATTATAGCATTGTATCAAGTCTAACGATTTTCAGCTGATAGTTTCACTAGATATATTCAGGCTCTTTGTTACTTACTAAAGAATTTCTATTAAACTACTAGAAGTTATGTTCTCCCTGTATTCAAAATCCAAAGCTAATCAATGTATTATAACTAAAAAATAGTCTTTAACCTGTTTTGTTTTATGTCATTATTAAAAATTTGGTAGTAAATGTGACAACATATGGTAATTCAACATTAGCATCATACGGTGCAATGGTTGGCATAGCATCAAGTAATGTATCAGCCTATTCGAATGGAAATGATAGCTATATCTCCAACGAATCCAATTATCTTTATAATATATACACTGGAATGAGATGGCAATGTGTTGAATATGCACGTCGATGGCTATTCATACGTAAAGGTTGTGTTTTTGATGATGTTGACGCAGCTAATGATATGTGGAGCCAGCTGTCTTATGTTCAACGAGTTGTCGATGGAAAATGTTTTTCTCTGAAAAAATATCAAAACGGTTCAACAAGTCCACCGAAAAATGAATCATTGCTCATCTATAGGCTTGGTAAAGATATACCATACGGACATGTTTCGGTTATAGTCGATGTTTTAAATGATTCTATTCGTGTTGCTGAACAAAATTTTCATGCATATTATTGGGCGAGTAACTATTCTCGACAAATTCCATATGTATTAAAGAATGGTAGTTACTATATTATGGATAGTTATAATATTTATGGTTGGATGTCAGTTGAAGATAATAATGAAAATAATCCATTGAATCAATCGACTATAGATAAAATCATTCAAAAAAATATATCGTTTCCTGATTTTGTTTGTTCAAAAAGTATCACACATAATTACTTTTCATTATATTATTACCTCGTTTTTTTCTTTCTTTTACATTTAATTACATTTTCATTTGTTTTTTCCGTGATCTAACAATGCATTAGCTATGATCAAATTTGCCCATTTATTCTTTTACCATGAACACATATATCTTTAAATTAGGATAAACTATATTATACTAACTTTGATTTTTTTTTCATTTAACATTATCTAAATAAAAATAATATTCCTCCACAAAATATGAAAATATATTCTTAGAAAGGTGAATAAAACTTCTGACCAAGTGTACACATTATTTGGTATTCACTTAATAAATTATTCTAGAAGATTTTAATGGCCGAAGATTTGTTAAGTATTGATTCAATTAATAGAGATCGATTGCTTTGCATCATGATGATAATTTTTTTCAGGATGAAGAAGTAGCACATCAATTCTTTCCGTGGTTGCAATTTAAAATGGTGTTATTTTTATCGTTTGGGAAGCTTTTTATTTCGTGTCTTTGTTGCATAGAAAATATTTTAAACATCTATAAATATTCATTTGATGAATACGACTGAGTCAGAGGTGTTAGGTAGTGGCGCTATCTTTCATGCACTACCTCTCTCTTCAATATGTTTTCTTGATTGGTCATTTGTGTAGACCGATCAATATACGCTTTTTTTTATATTGTTATGTAGAGTAGTTGTGAACGAGAAGATAGAAAAATAAAGACAATAAGTATCTAGTTAGTCATTACAGACTAACAAGAGGCATGACTTGGTTCTATTTTCTCAAAAAAAGAAAAGATCGAGGACGATATTGAAAAAGAAAACTCATTAACCCACATTTGAATAAAGAAAAAAAGTTAGATATTTTCTGAATAATATTTAGATAGAAAAACCATAGATAGTTTTGACTTTCATCGTTCAAAAGATACTGTTCTGATGCATGATTTTAATAGTATTACATCGGTCATTTCAAGTATTTTTCATTCAAATCGAACTGTTCGTTTTTTAATTGATTTATTATAATCAAATAAATCTGCTCATAAACACACTTTATTACCACTAAAATGCCGAAACCTCGCACCAAATTAATATTTTTGACTTTTATCAGATTAACTATAAATTAGCATCTACTATCTCTGCACAGTATACAAGCAATCACATATCATTCTGATTGTGCTCGTCATTTACTTTCAATTGCAGTTTTCGATTGAAGGTAGAAAGATCTCTTTCGTTTCTTAGAGAAAGAAAGGGAAAAAAGGTGGAACTAGCTAACAATCGTATTCTAATCGAACCATGTGTGGGGTAGTTGTAAGTAGATCTTAGAGTCCGCCAAGTCCGACCCCAACCAGACGAACTCTAGAATATCTTTTCTTTACTGATTCTCAAAGTTTGACCTACAGATTCACCTCATATCTTGTTCTGTCTTGTTTCTCAAATAATTATCAACAACAACTTTCATAAAGTTTTTTTCAATTTCTTCTTACTTTTAAGAATACCAAATCCGTGTTCAACTCGATAGATTCTACATATGTCTTGCATAATAGAAAAGAAAAACCTCAAAAGTGCTTTAAAATTATCGGTTAGGTTTATTATTGTTTTTTTTTTTCAGAATTATGATGAATAATGTAGTATTGTCAAGCCAGATCAATGCTAATTCCCTCGCTTTAATCGGCAAAAACATGGCGACATACTTGTGTCATATTTTTCCTGACAACACCAATAAACATTGATACCCACGTTATTTTTCTTTCTTTTCTCTTATTTTTTTAATTTTCGTAATAACATGGTGTAATTACATTATTACTCAACTGACACAAAATTCTCCTGATTATTTGAAGAAAGACGTAACATGGCGTCTGTAACACAAGAAAAACGTAAAAATCCATTTTCTGATAAAACATCTAAACAAGCAAAACAAACGAATCTTGGAGATTCAATTCATGCTATACAAAATCGTCATTTTTCATTACTACTATCATTAGATCATATACGAATATTTGCTATGCGTCGTCCTAAACCAGAATGTTTAACAAATGAAAATTGGCTTGTTTATAATGTTACATCAACAACAAAAGAAAAATGGTGTTTAGAATTGAGTCCATTTTTCTTAGGTCCAATTGAATTATATTCAAATAATAAAGATAGTAAAATGTTTATCGCAAAAAACATGGAAAATGCTTGGCAATTTTGTAAAGTCTACAAACAATTTACTGATACAGATGGTTATTCACCATCAGAAGCCTATTGGAAATGGGCTGAAAATGGTTGGAATGATTCCAAGCCACATCGTTTTCCATTAGGACGTAAAGCAAGTAAACCACTTTATTCATTATGGAATGGAAAAAAATTAAATTATATTGAAGCGCGTAAAACAATTTATGCACCGTTATATGCAAAATATGTTGAACAAACAGATGCATATAAAAAACTAAATGATATTTATATAAAATATTGTTGTGGAGATCAAAATGATAAACATAAAAAACCAATGGCATTATTAGATTTTGATGGATGGGATCATTTAGGACAAGGTTATACATTAGAACAAGTTATTAATATGGAAAAACCAAAAATGGGTCATGCTTTTGTTTTAGCTGGTCTTTTAGAAAATAATTTATTTTGGTTGTCCGAACCAGAAAAATCAAACGTGGAAGAATTAAGAAAATCTGGTCGAATGTTAAAAGATATTTGAAGAGAAATATTTCTTTGTTTTTTTTTCTTCTATTTTGAAATTATGTGAAAAACTATTTCAATCAGAGTTTTACAATGACGACAGCAATTTACTATGATAATGAGCTAAAACTTCTTTATTGATCATTATATTTGATTTAAAAAACAATAACAATAAGACTTTTGTATAGAATGGGTTGAAACAGTTTTGTTACGATTCTCTATATATTCTATCAGAGATTTGATTGTCGATTGTCTTCAAATATGGAGAATCAGAGGAGCATTTTTTTTGCTTGTTATAGAAAAACAAAAGTATCTTTTTGACTCATGCAATTAATCGAACTATATTCTTTGTTTCTTTAAATAAACATAGACAAAGTTTTTGATCATTTATATAATAGAATAACTATTATATATTTCCTGCAATGGCATCAAAATCCATATATCTACTAGAAGATCATTTATACAATACAAAAACAAACATTGAGGGTCTTCATATTTGTGAACATAACATCGAAATTTGAAATCTATTAAATTGAAATTTCAGTTTGTTTTTTGTTTTCAATTTTAATTTTAACTAACCACAATTTATAGAGTTCGCTAAATATTGGGTTTCTCTATTTCTATATAATAGGCTGTAATTTGTAGAAAGTGCTAAACTATTGATTTTCTTTTTCTTTTTAACCTTTTGGAGATCAAGGTCGTATGTATACGGTTTGAAAATTTTAGTACAAATTGAAAGTCGTTGGATATGCTAGAGTAGATGATACGAGTGTTTTGTTTCTTTTTTTATTTCAAATTTCTATATTTGCCTCGTTGCAGTGAGAGCAAATATGATAATTATGATAGTTAATACTTTTCAGATTATAATTGATTCTGATGCTACAATTTCGCTTCTTGTATTAAAAAAAAGTTGATCCTCAAAGGATTAATTAACTGCAATTTATGGAATTCACTAGCCATATTTGTAACTATGAATGTCAGGACTTTTTTTTTTTAATTTGAACACACTATTTAAGCTGGGAGTGCATACCAAATAGTATATGTGCCGTAGTATCGCTGATCTGAAGAAGGACAGATGAAGGGTACCCTTAATTACTAATTAGTCTGATTGGTAATGATGAAAACAAGAGAATGATGGTGATGACATCGAAGAGTGTCAGGGTGAAGTTGTCCTAGGTTTGGAATAATAGCTATACTTCATTTGCAAATAGTTATGTGAAATGAATGCTGAAACATTTGTTGCTGAAAGGTATCTTTTTTTTGGCGATCGAAACTTTTGTCACTTCTATTTAATTGTCGCTATTACATGAAATCAAACATCGAATGAACTAGTGAGCGTCTTTCATAGGTTATGAATTATTTATTTACTTATTCAATAATTCATCTTAAACAAAATCTAAATATATTTCGGTATTTATCTTTTATCTTCTGTCACATTCCTTTAGATCATTCAAACAGAATCATACTTCAGTTGAACTAGTAGAAAATAGTGCAGAATACTTTAATAAGAGAAAGTAGTATTTTTTTTTTATTTTAAGAGTTCACTGGCTTTTGATCATACTGACTGTTAACTATGCTTATTGGAAGTTCATTCATTAATTAGTATATAATAATGGAATATTATGTAATTATTTTTATATTTTCTTTGACTGAAATGTACGTGTATGATATAAAAGAAAAGAGTTTCTATTTGATATAAAGAAGAAAAAGAATTCAACATATAATTATTTTTCCGAGTTCACTAGACGTTCATAATATTTGAATTATTTTAATACTCTTTCAAAAAAAAAATGATGTAGCATCTAATATTCATCAATACAGAAAATATTTTTATTTGACAAAGTTCATAAAAACAGTTATGATTAATTTCTATCTAATCTTCATGAGCTATATTTTTTATGAGACAAGCAATTGTTTCTTCTTGTGACCATTTCATTGAATTATAACAATCATTCGATTTCATTTTTATAGGTTTCTCAGTCACGAATAGCATATAGAATTATCTTTTTTCTTTTATAATTTTTCTTCGTTTTATGAAAAACGATCTAAAAAGAATTTTCAAGTATAAAATAAAAGTTTAGATCCTCCTCCCCATGCAGACATGACAAACATCTTATTAACGAGTCATTAAAGATTGCGACAGGCATAGTCATAGAAACGTTATAGACTGTATATCCATTAAAATCTCATTATAATATATAAACTATTTCCTTACTATATTTCTGAAGGACTAAATTTTAAAAAAATGGTGAAATGTGCCATAAAATAGATAGAATAAAACAATCTTTCTGTGATTAACATTAAAAACTGCATCACGTTTCATATTTTAATTCTGCAGGGAATATACTATTCTTTTTTTTTCTTATATTATATTTATGCGAGATTGCATTGCAATCCCATATATATTCACACGCAATGTTCTAGATCTTCATCAAACTACTGAAGTAATATTTATTTGGAATATTTATATAAGTAAAATTCGTCGTATACAAATATTTCCATATTGGTATTAAATATACAGCTTTGTAATAAATATAAATAATCAGATGTATGTCCATCATATATTATATTTAAAGAGAATAAAAAATACATTTATGTGAATCTTTTACAATATGAGTAAATTACTTGAACAAGTACTTCAAGCAAATATTTTTCTACAACCATTTCAATTTTCTATTGTTATGGTAATCAATATTCTTAATATATGTGTATTATGTTCTCGTGCTCTTCGTTCATCATCATGTACACATTATTTCTTAGCTTATTCGGTCTTTAGTATTATCTATAGTTGTTTGGCATGTTTAACACAATTTTTACGTGGTTTTTCTATTGATTGGGCAAATCATCGAATCGGATGTAAATTACATTTCTATATTTTATTTGTTGTTCCAGTTCAAGCTAATCTAATGCTTATTTTAGCTTCAGTTGATCGGTATTTTTCTAGTTTAAAATCACATCGATTAAATTCGAAAAGTAAGATACAAACTCCAAGAATGAATATTGT